GATTTCATTAAAAAGAGCTTCATTTGTGTTCTGAAGATGAACGAAAGTCTTACAGGTTTGGAACAACATGAGTAACATTTCATTTTTGAAATGGCAACAGCATTTTATTTTTGGGTTAACTATCACTTTAGAATTGCTTACTTCATTTCATATACACGGAACCATGAATATGCATATTAGTCCCCGCCTCCACTCAATCACACCAGCTCGAACTCCCTGATCCACTGCGGTCAACTTTAGTGTAGTAAACGCTACAAGATGGCAAGTGGAAATTCTGGTTTAATTCAGACATATATGTCAGAACCAGAAACTGATTCAGAAGTGAAAGAGCGAATTATACAGGCTCGTCTAAAAGTCGATGCATCAGAATAGTAACATGTTTTATGAAATGCTCTCGGTGTCGGACACATAACAGCAGTTGATACGATTAGCCTTTGGTGTTGTTGAAAGTGCTTTAGAAATAAAGCTTGAGTTGAGTTGAGTTAGGGCTCAATTTAAACTAATTGCAAGTGTTCCACAAGCACTCGTGCAACGTAAGCAATGAAATACAACTGAGTGAACGAGACTGAGAGAAGGACTTCAAAGTCACTTATTTAAAGGTGCATTGCGCAACTTTTCATGTTAAAAATACCTGTTTTTCTATCCTATACATCCTTTAAGAACTGCCTGATGGGCTGAATGAGCCCTTCTCTGCGCACTGAGATTGCCTCTATAATCCTGTACAGTAAAATATATAAGAGGGATTCGGGCTCGAATTTGAGACTGGGCGTGACGTCATGCGCGTTCAAGCTCACCAGGCTATGTCTCGCAGGTTTGTGTATTCGCCGGCGCCGCCATTCTCCGCATCAGCGAAGACAACTCGTGCGTCAAAGGTAGAAGATGGATTCAAAGAGACCGGCTTGTAGTCCATTCCAAACCCCAACGCAAACTCCACGTAAAGTAAAGAAAAGAAAAATTTTGTCTAGTGCCACCAAAAGGTCCAAATTGGAGTCAGACAGGCGTCGGAGTAAGACGAGAGTCAACCTCGGGAAGGCATTCAACAAATGGTCTGCTCTTGGTCTCAAACGGGATCCTCAGTTGGCTTTTTTTCTTGATAAAACGGTAAGATATAGCCCAGTCTCTAATGTCTGATACGGCAAATATATGACAACAAATGACGATGCGTAAAATGTGTAATGCTTTAGCGTAAGCTAGATAAATGTACTAATCAGATTTGGTTTTACTACCATTGTCAGTGAACAGGTTCATAAACTAGGAATTGTCTTCGGAAGAATAGTACAACATAAAACATATCCCATAAAAAATGCTAAAGTTACCTATGTTTTTGTGTATGACCTACCGGTAGCCTTGTGTACTTTGCTAACATAATAAGGTGCTCATGTCCTTGACCAACAAGGAAGAACACCGTTGCATTGGCTATATTTCCTTTTTCGTAAAAAAATAGTAAATTGTTCCCGGGAATGTGAATTCGGCGGATTAGCCTGTTTGGCTTTTACAGTAACGTCATAGTGCCATTTGATTGTTTATTACCGTGAGACATTTGAGTGTAAGTTACTTTGTTGACCAACGGTGTATGGTATGATTATTATTTTGAGCTTTTGCAAAGTAATAACTTATATTGTTCATGAACGTGTTTCCATAATAATACACTCATAAGTGGATACAGTAAACACATAAAACAGTTCAACATACACGGAGATAGATGGAAACAAAAACCGAACTTTTCTACTACCCCTGTTTTCCCCTCACACATAAGTGTGTAATTTACTCAAATGCCTTTCCTTTCATATATTTAAAATGACTTTTAGATTTATAACTTTATTACCTCTGAAGACATTATGACTGTCAACAAAAGATTTGTGCGGCTGATGCTCTTTTGGTTATGAATAGCTCGTGCAAGCGTGTGTGTGCGTGCACATCTCTGGTTGCAGTTTCCCTTGTCGCCAGAGGGGGCATAGTTCTGCAAAAACTCAGAAACCTGCGCTATGCACCTTTAACTCCTAAATTAATTAATGTTTGAATCAGTTCAGTGAATGATTAAATTGACTCACTCATAAAGGCAGTTACTTGTGTCATTCCACACTGTTTTTGCAAGGGTTTTTAGCGTTACAATGAAAGATGGGTGATGCACATGAAAAAAATGCCTTTATTTTTTAAGAAAAAGCTGAACAGATATTATAACAGAAAATGAAACCTAATAAACATTTCACAGCATACAACATGACCCCCACAAAACTTAAGGCCCATTCACACCAAGAACAATATCTACAAAGATAACTATATTTTGCCCTGCACGCTTAATAAACAAACTACAGCTGGTCCAAAACGCTTCAGCTCGAGTTCTTACCAGAACCAGGAAGTATGACCATATTAGCCCGGTTCTGTCAACACTACATTGGCTCCCTATTAAACATTGTATATATTTTTAAATATTGCTGACTACCTACAAAGCACTAAATGGTTTAGCTCCCCAGTATTTGAGCGAGCTCTTAATGCATTATAGTCCTTCATGTCTATTGCGATCTCAAAATTCTAGCCAGTTGATAATACCTAGAATATCAAAATCGACTGCTGGCGGTAGATCATTTTCCTATTTAGCACCTAACTTTGGAACAGTCTCCCTAACATTGTCTGGGAAGCAGACACACTCTTGTCAGTTTAAATCTAGACTAAAAAAACACATCTCTTTTACCTGGCATTCACATAGAACATTATACATTTCTGTTATTCAAATCAGTTAAATGATTATTAGGCTGCATAGATTAGGTCAGCCGGAACCGGGGACACTTCCTAGAACATCTGATGCACTCGTTACATCATAAGAAGAATAGCATCTACGCTAATGTTAGTCTTTACATTTATTCCGAGGTTTACTGAAGTCAGCCGGATCCGGGCCGTATCCAGATCAGACGTGAACCTGCGCCTGGACATGACCACAACGCATCCCTGAAGTGCCAGCCTCATCAGCCCTGTGAAGGCCTCATGGACACCTCAACAAACTCGTCTCCATACCGGCGTGATGACTCCGACCTCCAACCAGATAGAACTGGATAAATATTGTGAATGTTCTGATCCAATCTGACTTCTAACCTATAATGCTGCCTGAACCATAATCATACACTGTTCGCTCGTTGGCCCTCCGACTGAGTCTGGGTTCTCCCAAGGTTTTATTTTTCTCCATTCTGTCACCTGATGGAGTTTTGGTTCCTTGCCACTGTTGCCTTGGCTTTTGGCTTGCTTAGTTGGGGACATTTAATATTCAACAATATTATTGATCTGCCTTACTTCAGGTGGACAATGACGCAATTTTCTTCTAGAAACAAACAATTTTCATGTTATCACTGTGAAGCTGCTTTGATACAATCTGTATTGTAAAAAGCACTATATAAATAAAGGTGACTTGACTATTTGCGTCCACACCACCAGCGCAGAATATCGTTCTGTTTAGTGCGTGCTTGTCTGCCGCTTTAAATGCTCGAGCTCGTTCCAGCAGGGTGGATTCTGATTGTCTGTCAATGTTTTTATCATTCATCAGCTGGATAAAATGGTTCTGAAAGTGATTCCAATGGTATTGTTTCTATGTGCCGTAACCGTTATCGTTTTAGCTGTGGTGTGAACTCTGCTATTCTTTAATATTGAGAACGATTTTTAGAACTAAATCTATATCGTTATCTTTATAGTTACTTGTGTGAACGGGCCTTTAGTGTATATGCCCTCACACAGTTATTTTTTAATGTGTATTTGACCACCCTGGCTGCTGTTTGTGGAAGCAATAAACTCCACTAAGGACAAGAATGTCTTAAATATTGATATACTGTCTTATTAAAGTTTAAACGCTTGGGCTGAGAGCTCTGGCAAAATTAAAGTGCTGTAACAGATTAAACTGAAGCAATTTAATTAAATGCATTAAGGGAAAAAATTTTAATTAGAGTAATTAGGTGGGAATTTTGTCTCCTGTTGTGTCAGAACAGCTGCTGAGACCTCACACTCAAGGGATCAGTTACAAGGGAATTCTTCCCTGGAGAGGACACTAGATTTCTGCGAGGCCCAGGAGATTCATATTCGCTACCACATCCGACTGGCCCATGATGTCACCTGGTGCTGTAAAACTTTTTAATGGCCCACTAAATCAGAATCATGGATTGGAGGCATTTAAGGCTAAGTGAAGACAGGATAAGGTTATGGTGAGAAAGAGGAAAAGCAGGATGAATAGAGACATGGAGAGAGAGAGAGAGAGAGAGAGAGAGAGAGAGAGAGAGAGAGAGAGAGAGAGAGAGAGAGAGAGAGAGAGAGAGAGAGAGAGAGAGCAAAATGACCTTGCTGCAATATTATAGAATGAATGTTCACAACAGCACTTTAAAATCTCTTTGTGCTTTTGTAATGCATAAACCTCTAAAACATGGGTGTCCAATCCTGCTCCTGGAGGGCCACTGTCCTGCAGAGTTCAGCTCCAACCCTAAATAAATACATCAAGGTCTTAGGCATACTAGAAACTTACAAGCACGGTGTCTTGAGGAAAGTTGGAGCTCAACTCTGCAGGACAGTGAAACTCTAGAACCAAGTTTAGACACCCATACTCTAAAATTGCAATAACCTTCAGATCATTTCTTCAGTTTCAGTAAAAAACAAAACAAAACAAAAACATTATGAAAACAGATTAAATGAAAATTCTTTCACCATTTGGTCACCCTTATATTGTTCCAAATCCGATTAATTATTATTCTGTGGAACAAAAATGACATTGCAAAATGTCCATGAAATGTAATGAAAGTGGATGGGGATCGGGGATCAGAGACAACCGACTTTCATTGCAAGGAGAAGAGCAGCTTGGACATTTTGTTACATAACTCATTTTGTACTCCACGGAACAAAAGAAAGTCATACTGGATCTATATCTTTAAATGAGGAGTAAAACCATGGGACAATAACAGTGTTTGCTAGTATATATATTCAGATGTAGAGTTGCACAGGATTCTGGGATCCAGCTCCAGCTCCATTGACTTGCACACTCAAAGTCTGAAATCAATGTCCTCATTTGCCAGAATCAAAGCAGTTCTGCAAGGAATGTAGATCTAGGAAGAAAAAGAAAAAATATTTAAATAAACAAACAAACATCAGCACACATCAACTACCTTCCAATGTGGTTGATTGGGACAAGATGTTTTCGGTTTATTTAGTGTTGCCTGATCATCTGAGATGTTACAACCAGGTGGAAATGGATTCGGTTTCAGGTTTCTGGCCGTATATGAAACATAGTCTAGATTAAGTCCAAGAATAAACAAATCCATGTCTTAAAGTGTTGAGGATACTGGCTGCTCTGATAAACAATTCACATGCATGGCTATATACCTGCCGAGCTGAAAAAACAAAAAAGGCAAAACAATATTTCTCCAGGGAGAAAAGCTTGAAAGCAAGTTATTGCGCTGTTAAAAGGAGCTCTAATCTGCTGTGTAAAAACAATTCTTTATGTAACCTGGGAGTACCTTGCAATACAGTTTTTATTAGTGAAATCACTGTTCTTTGACCTCACTTCATACAGCAGGACATGAGACTACAGGTCTGGGATCAGTCCAGCGGGATATGAGAAGTGATTGGGTCCGGGTGTCGACATACCGACAAGAACGACTTGTTTCTCTCAGAGGAAAAAAGGAATATATAAAGCAGAGAATATACTAGCGAAAGTTCTCATGAATAAAACATTGTGTGTAGGGAGAGGAAACAGAGTCACTGATGTAGGTCAGGTTCTGGTTGATTTCCACAGGGAGCAGACATGAGGTTTATTAACTGGGCCTGCACTCACCTGCTGGAACTGGACCTGAGCTCCCAGCGTGAGCGCCAAGACGACGCTGCCGCGACTACAAACAGAAAATCACTGTTTTAACACCAGAAGCTTCACTATGTTCCTATTGAAGCCTTCGGAAATGAGATGTCAGAGTCTGTGTGTGGTCTCACAGAGTGGTTTGTCTGTTGGGAGAGCTTTCAGTGGGTTTTATCGTTTAAGGAATAATAAGATTGAGCATCATTGACAGGTTTTTAACCATTACAGGCCACGAGACCTCAGCATGGTACCTTTATGTAATAAAGTTTTTTTTTTTTTTTATATATATATAATATTTAATAAAACCTGTGACTATAAAAAAAAGTATAAATATAAATAAAAATATAATTAATAATTAAATAATACAAGTTAGGTTAAACCAATAATGAATAAATAAATAAATATTAACTTTAACAAATAATACAATTAAGAGTAATAAATAATTCAGAAAACAATTCATATTAAATAAAATAAAATAAAAATAATAAAAAGATATGTTCAACCAATAATAAATCAATTTTAACCAATAATAAAATGAACAATAACCAATAATAATTCAATAATGAAAGTTAGGTTCAACCAAGAGCAATACAAATCAATAACAATCCAATACTAAAAGTTCACTTCAACAAAATGCATGTTATCATAGGTCAAGTTTAACTTCAGTGACTCATGAATCAATAGCTACTGCTGTGTCTTTTTCATAATGAAATCTGAAGTAAATCTCATAAGACAGAGAGGGACGATTTTAGATGCCTCTTAATATAATCCATAGCAGCAGGCTTGTACAGTAATATAGATCTAGGGTTTTCAATCCCTGGAAGTCCATTATGGCGCTGAAGGGGGTCCGTGAAGAATTTATGAAATTTCTAACTATCTGAATGAGCACAGTAATTGATAATGTAGTAATGTTAGATAGTGATCTAAATGAACGTTTTACTAAAGCAGGGGTCTTCAACCTTGATGGATGGAGATGGAGCAGGGCCAGGGACCCCCTATTCATGAGTGTTGAGTTTTAATCCCTGCACATGTGCAGTTCTCCACTAGATGTCACTGCTGCAGTTTGGAAACAGGAAACAATATCTCAAAGGAAGCTGCAGGTAGCCTGAGCTGTAGTTCTGACCAACACCAAAATCTTACATACAGAATTTTGAATAAGGTGTACTATAATGTGATGGAAAAAAAAAATCACTATCTAATGTAATATGCAAGATAATCTGACTAAGAAGTCTCTGTGTGATTGTGGGAAGGAGAATGAGTAAAAAAATAAACCAATATAATTTTGTTTATATTGGGAGTTGATGTTAGCAGAACATCTATAACATCTACATCTACACAGACACTGCATCCAGATCTACTCCAAGAGGAGAACTGAATTAAGACTCACCCTGTAGAAAGCTTCAGGCATAAGAGAAATCTCACTTTCTGGCCTGAGTCACGGACAGACCAGCAGGGTTTCCAGCCTTTGAATGAATATTTTTGTCAGAGCACCGTCTGAGTTACACCAGCGTTAATATCTTGCTCAATTAAAATGCCTGCTGCGATTAGCCGGATCTCTTAAAAGGCACTTTGAGCCAAAACAGTATTAACAGGCTCATTGATTCCTGGCATAACCATCTTTCAGTCGGCTCATCAGCACCGGTAATCACGCAACTCAAGCCATTACAAACTACATGGCCGCCAGTGACCCCTGACCAGGCAGCAAATCCATCACTGACATTTAAAACAAAAATGCTATCTTCAGGTACAGCAGTCCAGGAGGAAGCAGGGCAAGAAAGGGAACCTCATGTGTCTCCAGCAACATGAAGACGAAGAGAAATCTAAGCTGCAGGCACCATGACTGCTCATTCTGGTATGTTCTGCTGTCCTTAAAAGCTCACCCAAAAATTACAATTCTGTCATTACTACTCACCCTCATGTCATTCCAAACCTGCATGACTGTGGAAAACTAAAAGGAAACTTTTAGAATTGCTACAAGGAGGACACAAAAGCATCATGAGTATCATAAAAGTGGTCCATACATACTGTGAACCATATTCCAAGTCATTTTGAAAGATTTCCATGGGGTTCATAAGAGATGTCTGAACCGGTCGTTTTGAGTCAGTCTTTTTTTTAAATAAATCTGTTGATTAAATTCTCAGAACTGGTGTGAATGATTCACAGTTGAGCCAGTAGTTATTTTGAGTCTGATCTCAATTAATCAGCTGATTCAGATCACAAAACTGGCAAAAGATTTGTTTATGGATCAGACTGATTTGATTCTCATCTCATATAACTCAATTCAAATGAATTCTGAAAAACAACTAAAATATAATGCAATATAAAAATATAAAGTCACATGGACTACTTTTATGGTGCTTTTGCATCCTTTTCATTCAATTCAGTTGATTCATCAAAAACCAGCAGTCTTCAGAATTTGTCATTTTGTATTCTACAGAAGAAAGAAAGGCATATGGGATTAGAATGATATAAGTCTGAGTAAATGTCGACAGAATGTTTATTTTTGCTGCTTTTTATGTTCATTTCTTCTCCCTATAAGTGATATTAACCTAGAAAATTTTTTTTTTCCTTTATTATAACTTGTGTAGAAAAGGCAGGAATTCTGCTTCATTTAATGGTTGATCTGATTTTTAATTACTTTTTAAAGGATGGGCAGAAAAGCATTTATAACTTTTTTTATTCACTTTCTAAAGCATTTCTAAAATAGTAGATCAATGTTTGTTTTATTTAAATCTTTGTTTGTGCCTGAGGCTAGAATACAGAGCGAGCCAACGTTAACATTGGAAATGTAATAGCAGTGATGTGATTTATTAAAATATCTATCTAGACAGATAGATAATATACATTTAATATATATTTTAGTAGAAGTGTTTTAATTAGCATGCAAATCACATGCTGTTTGACAATTAGTACAGAAAACCACTCTCAGGTAAAAGTCCAACCTAAAAAAAAAAAGAGGTGATGTTAGCTGAAAAGCCTGGTGAGGACAGAACAGCACACAAGCAACCAAAACACAAGCTGAAACCGAATAGCATGTGAAAAACAGTACGTTAACGGAGTAGTATGTCCGAATACATAGTGTTTGAAACCAGTAGGCGAAAAGTCCCCGGATGACCAACTATTTCCGGCAAGATTCTGAAGTGTGCATTCGATGGATACTTTCCTATCCCATGAGGCCACAGGAGGGAATTTATGAATGGAGGTGAAGTGACGCTGGTAGGTCACATGATAAAGACAACATGGTGGATGTAGTAAGTCCGGATTACATTCATACTACACACATTCATACTATATAGAACGTACTTTTTTAACAGATGAGAAGGAAGTTCAAATTCCCTGCCGGTCCTCCGCTTCAGGGTATCGAAAACGAGATGGAAATAGCAGGGCTGTCCCCCCCGGGGAGAAGAGCAAGAATCGCTCCTCCGCGGAGCCCTCAGTAAATCGATATTTGTATCCAGCATCAAGTGTGCTTCCGGACACATCGGAAGCGCACTTGATGCTGGATACAAACTTCATACAACCCAAAGGCTTGCGGCCAGGCAGTGTTCTTGTCCACACATCGGAAATTGTTCTCGATTATTCCCTGCCAGTCCTCTGCTTCAGGGTGTCGAGAATTAAACCGAAAGAGCCTCCCCTCTGGGGATCCCTCAGGAAATCGATGTCTGTATCCCGCCGTCAGGTGCGTTTCGGGACACATCGGTTTCCAGCGAACGCACGGTACACTGTCTGCCTCAAAGGCTTGCGGCCAGGTAGCGCTCGCGTCCGCACATCGAGAATCGTTTTCGACCAAACCCTGCCAGAGAGCCACTTCAGGGGATCGAGAACGAATCTCGAATAATACCCGAAATCAGCCTCGAGAGCAAAACCTGCAGAATATTTCTCCTTGGGAAGGGGTACAGGCTGCAGTTCCATTTCCGCCCACCGAATTTCAACGGGGTGGTTTGGACTGCAGTCAACCCACAGCAGGGTCGGGTATTGGAACAAGAAGTAAACTCCCTGTTGGCAAAGGAGGCTATAGAACGTATTCCTCCGACAGACAGGGAGTCCGGGTTTTACAGCCACTACTTCATAGTTCCTGGGGCTGCAGGCTGGGAGGCTAGATCTAAGGCACTTGAATCGGTCTCTGAGGAGATTCAAGTACAAGATGCTCACTATTTCCACCATTGTGAGCCAAATCAAATCCAAGGATTGATTTGTCACGATAGATCTGAAGGACGCATACTTCCTGTGAGATGGAAGGATGGATATGTGGAA